ATAGTGTGAACACAGCAGCAATGAACATGACTAAGCAAGTATCTGTGGAGTAGGATGTTGAGTCCTTTGGGCATTTTCCAAGGAGTGTTTCTGCTGTGCCATATGGAGAGTTCCTTATAGTCTTTGAGAAGTCTGCACACTGATTTCCACAGTTCCTGCACCAATTTGCCATCTTGCAATCCCACCAAGAGTGAATGAGAGCTCCCCTTTCCCTACATCCTCACTCATATTTGATGTTCATTGTTTTCTTGATCTTAGCTGTTCTGACTGGGTTTAGATGAAACTTCTGAGTACTTTCAATGTATGTTTCTCTAACTGTTAATAATGTTATAATTCTTAGCAATTTTTATTAGCTCTTTGAAATTTCCAACAACCTATTAATCTGTTGGGATAATACTTATCTCTCCCCAAACTCTTCCCAGATCTACCCCCTTTCTTACCTAACCAAGTTCATATCTTTTTTAAAAAATTTTTATCTAGAGCAATTTGTGCTGCCCATATGTTTTTAGATGTGAGATTTTTCACATGACCAATTTACCAGGGGTTACACTCAGAAAGAACCATTCCCTTCTCTAATTAACTAAGAATAGGATAATTACTAGGGGTGGGATTTTTATACCCAACTCCCAAGTTCATGCTGGAATCTGGTCTGATTTGGGCTTGCACAGCCATACCACTCTGAACATTCCTGATTTCATTTTAGGCATTTTAATTTTTTTTTCTGAGCTCTCTGTTCAGATCCATAGCTCATTTCCAACTGGGTGGTTTTCTTAACTGTTTTATTTTATCCTTTTAATTTTGTTTATGCTGGATAATAACCCTTATCAGATGTATAGCTTGCAAAGGGTCTTTCCCACACTGTGACCTTCCTCTTTATTGGACTGATTACTAATTTTATTGGCTATAGGGAAGGATTTTTGTTTTATAATGTCCTATTGTCAGTTGTTGGCCTAAATCCTAAGTGGTTACTCCTGGACACACAGACATATAAGAAATATTACATGGAGTCTGTTACACATGCATGTATGTATTTGTATGCATTTTAATTCATGTCCATGGATATATACATAATAATTACAACTAAAGAAGTGGTAGTAAGTTTGGGAAGGGATGTGGGAGGAACTGGAAGGGTGGAAGAGGGCCAGAAGCAGAGTAGATGCAGTGTTGTTCATGTACGTGATTCTCAAGAAAATGTTTAAAATAAAACTGAAGTTTAAAACATCATATCCAACGCAGATTCTGTTAGAGACCTCATCAAATTCTGCATATCTCATACATACTGTGCCCAAAGGACTGTCCTCCAGAAGCCCCGTTATAAGCTCCATCCACTGTCTTTTCCTCCAGCCTGTGTTTAGTGCAATACTGGCCACCTGGAAGACCTCCTGCTTATAATCTACAACAAACAGAATTCTGGCCACATAAACAAACTCCCTCATAGGGTAGTGATGAGGATACCCTTTTAATATTAAATACATTTGACTTGCCATATCTTCATTTTCCTATTGTTTACACTTTCTTCTCTCTTCCTTTCTGCATCATGGGGTCAAGAGCCCTGTATCAGCTATCTTCTCCATGGAAGAGCCAGTTGCTTGATGTGCATGAAGGACCAGATTGAGGTGGAATTTCTGTGTCCTCAAGACCACAGTTTCAGACACTTCACCCACACCCTGCCTTGCATGTAGTGGTATTTGCTTCACCCATGACTTTGGGCTATATGGCCCAAAGTGGTGCTTCCTATCATTGTATATGACCTCTTGTAAGGAGTTGGAGAAGGGTCACATGCTCTTTTTCTTCCTGCTCCTGCCTGGGAGGTGGATTAGCTCCCAGTCCGATCAGAGGACAACTTCTGCTTTCTACTCCATTCTGTAATCATGAGTGTATTTGCTCAATTTATATCTTAATACATTCTGTTACCCACTTACTAGACTCATGTGGATTGATCATAAAAAGTGGCGCCCACATGACAAAAAGACCCCACACTCCCTGTAGCTTCTGTCCACAGCCTCTGTGGCAGCTGCAGCAGTTGGCTCAGAGGCTTGTATGCTCACTGCAGGTCAACCACACTAGCACCTCCAGAGCTACTGGGTCCCAACCACATACATCTGAGCCCCTTGTGTCCCTACTGGGGCTACTTGCGTGACCAAACCTGAAAGTACTCAGGTGGCTGCTGGTGAGTTTCTCTGCCCTGCAGGGCCTGCACAGCTCAAACCCCCCAGGAAGAGCCTGACCCCTGCTCAGGTGAACAGCAGCAGCCCCAGGGACAGGTAGAGCCTGTTGACTAGGCAGCTCATGCAGCATGAGTCAATCAATCACTCTCTGGTCAGGTGCCTCACAAGGCGGCAGCTCTGGTAGCCACTGCCAGAAGCACATGCCTTCTTCAGCAGATAGAGCACCAGAGAAACGTGCCCACACTAGTAGTCCATGCTTTTAGTGTCCAGATCAGGTCACAGTTCCTCTCCTGTTTAGAGATTCCCAGCACACTGTTCCCTTTACTTTTAAAATGGTTCAGTGTAGCAACTGCCAATTCCAGGACACCCTAGGACAATGCTCTTGTGAGCTTACCTGCCTATGCTCTTGAGAGCATGCCCCCACCCCCCTGCACCTGCCTACCCACCCACAGGCTTCCACCACTCTGGCTGAGTTCAGTCCCAGCTGTGAGCCAGCCTGCAAACACTGTCATCAGCCCTACAGCACCAACCAGACAGGCGGCTCCTGCCAGGTGTGTGACTGCACCTGAGCGCTTCCAGCTCATTGGTGTATTGCCTCATTGTCGTATACAGTCTGTTGTGGTCCCAGCAACCCTATCTAGTGCTCAGGGGTTGCCTGGGTAAGTGCTTAATTCATAGGAACCATTCAGGGACCACAGTCAGCTTGCATCAGGCCTGCTTTAGTGCTACACCAGTGTCACCTTCTGGCCAAACAGTGCTACTACACCCAAAAAACTCATTACAATCAAGAATTTCATTCCAGGTAAGAGTACTTGATAATTTTACACCTTAAAGCTGATTAATAATAATAATAATAATAATAATAATAACAATAATAATAAAATTAATAAAATTTTCCTTACAAATTTTGAATATTTCTCAAAGCATGGCAGAAAATATTACCTCAAATGAATTTAAAAACTTTTTTGCTTGTATGATGAATGAAATTTTACAGGAAATATATGACTTTCCTGGGACAGATTTGGTATGCACCATTTTGGCATTTACCATAATAATTCACACAGCACTGAAAACTTGTTTAATAATAATAACAAAGATGAGTTCCAGGAAAGGCGCAAAGCTACACAGAGAAACCCTGTCTCGAAAAACCAAAAAAAAAAAAAGAGGTCACATACAATGGCAGGAAGCACCACCTCCTTTGGGCCATATAGCCCAAGGTCATGGGTGGAGCAAATACCACTATGCATGCATGTATAGGGATTTGATGTGATTCATTGAATTCCTCCAGTCTTTGGGCTGAAAACAATCAATGCATATATATATATATATATATATATATATATATATATATATATATATATATGTGTGTGTGTGTGTGTGTGTGTGTGTGTGTGTGTGTGTGTGTATGTATGTGTGTATATATGTATGTATATATATACACACACATATATACATATATGTATATGGATAGTGTATTGAGACACGGTTTCTTTTTCCAGTCCTGGTTGTCCTGGAACTCACTTTGTAGATCAGGCTGGTCTCCAACTCATAGAAATCACCTGCCTCTGCCTTCCAAGTGCTGGGATTAAGGGTATGTGCCACCACTACCCAGCTAGATAATTTAAAAATAAATTTTCTAAGTTGATAGGCAAAAATTGGCATTCCACTGAAGTGCTATTTGCATTTTTTGTATGAGTTAGTGCTCCATTTGCATGGAAAGAATAATTTGCAGTTCCTGGTATACTGTTGTTATTGCTCATTTTGCATTTTGGTTAATATGTAATATTAATAGCTCTTCATAAATTTGATGAATTAGCACTGTTTCCTAGGTTTTACAAAATTTTTGAAAGCTTGTAATTTTTTCTGGCTTTAATTCCATAGTACATAAATCCTCTATTGCTCCCACTGACTTTTGTAAACCTAGAATCTCTGTATTAGTGATTTCCTGGCATAAACAAATGCCTTCCAAATCATGTCCTGAGTCAAGGTCTTTCTCTCCAGCAGCGTTTCATGAATGTTGTCATTCTGACATAAACATCACGTGCATTCGCCCAGCAAGTGCAGAGGAAACAGGACTGGAGATGGCACTGATGAGTCAGAGATCGCAAAGTGACTGGTGACACCTTCCTGGGCTCTTCCTGCTTCTTCTCTGCCCTTCTGTGCCACAACCTTCTTTCCATCCTCAGCCAGCACATAAGTCTTTTCATCAAAGATCCAAAGTTGATCCTGGACTATTACCTCTCATCTTGACCTGACCAATTTGTGTGCTCAGGATGCCAGATTGTTTCCTGTGCTTCAAAGACATTCAGACTGATGCTCACCGCAGTGTGGAACCCCAAGATGGGTCACAGCTTTCAGTACTTGATTCTCCTTGCAGTCGCCGTGTAGACACAACACCAACGTTTCTGTCTTTGTTTCTGACTTTTTATTAAAATTATTCTTTTTGTACAATATACTCTGATCACAGTTTTCCCTCTCAAATCTCCTCACAGATCCTCTCCACAACTCCAATGTGATGTGCCCTCCCTCTGTCTTGAAAATGAGCAGGCAAATAAAACAAACAAACAAACAAGAATAATTATCATTATCAGCTGGAAGGGAGAGCTGTCACTGAACACACAGAACAACATCTTGATGGGCAGCTGTGAGAACAGAGGAACATCAAAGGGATCTTGAAGGCAACAGTCTCTCCCAGTTCCCATCAGTGCATGCCCTCTCTAACTACAGGACCTGTCTCTGCTCCTTCTCATGACAGCCCTATAAATGCAGGTTGGCTCCTCACTCACCACACACTGGGCTCCTGCTCACCCTTCCTCCAGGTGACTCTCAGCCATGAAGACACTTGTCCTCCTCTCTGCCCTTGTCCTGCTGGCCTACCTGACCCAGGCTGATCCTTTCCCAGAAGCAACTGAGGAGACTAAAAATGAGGATCAGCCAGGGGTAGAGGACCAGAATGTGTCCATCTCCTTTGGAGGCCCAGAAGGCTCTGCTCTTCAAGATGCAGGTGAGTGGTGGTGTCCAGTATGATAGTGGGTTGGAGTCTCCTGAGAGAGGGCTGAAGATGTGCCTCGGAATCCTGTCAAGAGCAATCTGGCTTCCTTATAAACTTTGTTTTACTTCCTTCTCTTTCTTATTCATATCAGTAACAGTGAGATTGGAGTAAGTCAATTGATTTTCTTTCTCATAAGGCTTTTGCTCAAAAAATACACTTTGAGCCGGGCGGTGGTGGCGCACGCCTTTAATCCCAGCACTCAGGAGGCAGAGCCAGGCGGATCTCTGTGAGTTTGAGGCCAGCCTGGACTACCAAGTGAGTTCCAGGACAGGCGCAAAGCTACACAGAGAAACCCTGTCTTGAAAAACCAAAAAAAAAAAAAAAAAAAAAATACACTTTGGAATTTTACTAGAATGTAGAGCAATATACTGAGTAGATCCTTTTGAACAAAATGAGTAGTAGTCTTAGGTAAAAGGAGAAAAAATTTTCTTTGTCTGAGAGAACTTCAAATCGTGTAAGAGTTCACTCAGGTATATGAACAGTGAGAAAAGGAGCATAAAATTTAAATGATTCTGCAAAATAATAGAACGCATCAGTGGGTCCCAAAACACATGTGTTCTGCTGCAGCTGAGCATGGAAAGCAGAAACAACAAGATGACCATCTGAGGCCCGAGAGAGGCCTCTGATTTCCACTGTCCTTGTGTTTCTCCTTTGTCCCAATAAACTGCTTGCATTATGCTCCCCTTGTGTTTGCATTCTTTGGTATTTGCTATAAGGCTCAGTCAGGACTCTGGATATCAGGTACCAGAACCTTAAGTAAACCTTTGCAATTGAATAAATAATTTAGTTTTTACTTACAAAATACTAACTCCAAATACTAACCGTTTTAAGAATGATCCCAGGGTACAGACACAAAGTGTAAAGATAGCTCAGAGTGTTAATAATCTTTCTCTCTTGAGTTTTGACTCTGCCTTCATGTAGATTCAACTCACTCTTGAAGACATTGCCTACATGTTAAGAAAAACTACAGCTTTGAGCTTCAGGTTTATACAGTCCTAATATCTTAACTTTTCAGAGAGCCACTGTCTCCTTAGAAAGTGTTAAAGTTTAAGGAAAAGGAGTAGTATAATTTGGGGAGTCAGAGATAGAAAATACCCACATCCAAAAACACCTCATGATAGCTAATTATAGGTGCCAGGCTTTGGGGACCACAGTGCCCAGATATCTGGCTAAACACTGCTCTGGGAGTAAGTTTTGTTAAATAAGGTCAATGTTTAATTGATGAAATTTGAGAAAAGCAGACCTTTCTCTACCATGTGGACTGGCCGTTTCCAACAGTTCGAAGCCTGCGTAGCATGAAGGCTCTCTGGGGGGAGAGTGGGTTCTCTCAGTGGAGAGTTTTTCAGCTTGAATTGCACGTGCTCCCTGAAATTCCAGGTCAGAGGGCCTTGGGTTCTTTGTGAATTTCAAACAAATTAGGTACGTCTAGCCTATTACCCCTGGACTCAGAAGTGGAAGTAATGATGCAAGGGAGAAAGGGGTCTTAATCAGTGTGTCCACATCACAAAGACAAGGGGACCAGGCATACCCAACTCATCTTTGGGTTGCTGACACTAACTTCAGTCTTGCTCAGAGGAAGAGTTGGGAAAGAAAGTAAGAGGTGTGCATAATGTTAGTCTTAGACTGTGGTCCATTTGATCACTGTCTCCATCCTCATTCTGGAAGGTTCTGGAAGGTGGCTCTGGAGAAGTCATCATCACAGTCATTGCCTGTGGGGGCAATATTTCCCAGAGATGCATTTCATATCAGGTGAGGAGAAACCTCAACATGAGGAGATCTGACTATAAGACCTGCTGTTTCTCAAATCCAAGGTGACTTGATTTACAGCGATGACTAGAGACTTCTGTGTGCCTTGAAGGGCTGGCTGTACAGCCTGAGAGTAAAATCCTTTACTTGCTCTTGGTGCAGTGTCTTTAGTCATAAGTAGGGAAGATTACCCGCTTTAGATGAATATTCCTTAAATGATTGACATGCTTGCCCACTGAGCTGAGCAGGAATCTGGCTCAAAGTAAGAGAGACAGATACAAAAGGAAGGCAGAGATGCCTAGTGTTATCTTGCTTTTAGCTCCCCATCAAGCATCTGCAGGTCCAAGTGAAGAATGGGTGCCTCCCAGTCAAAGTTCTTGGTCTCAATTATGCAACCCTTTCCTGGGGCTCTAGCCTGCTAGCCTCCCCCCCTGCAGACCTTACACTTTTTGTATTCCCACAATCTCATGTCTAATTCCCCCAATAAAGGAACTGGTTCTGTTTCTCTGGAGAACCCTGACCTATACACATTTAGTCCTAAGCAAATGACATGAGGACACAGTGGTAGGGTTCACCCACAGGGCTGTCAGATTCTGAATGGTCCATCCTGTGAGATAGTCCACAGGATTCTCCAAGTTTCCCACATCCACTTCCTTCCCAGAAATTTAATCAAAGTCTACAGATGAGGTTTGGTAATAACAACACAGATCGCACAAGCCTGTATTTCACTTCAGACTTACATAGAGACAAGCTGGGCCAAAGAATGGACAAAAGCTGAAGTTTTCATGTTAAAAAGCAAAGTACCAGGTCCCTGAAACCCTGGGTATCAAGAAGGTGGGCTGTAGTTGGGAGCAGAGAGATGAAAGATTCTTGGGAGGCAGTGAATTGCGGGATTTGTAGACTGACTTGGGAGAGAGCCCCAGATACCACTTTTAGACAGCCCCAGCATGAGGCGATGAGTGTCAGAATGTCTCTGAAGCCTTGGCTGGCCAGTGACTGAGTGGCCACCCTTGCGTTCATCCCGAGATACCCGTGTGGAGTGAACACACTTCTCTTTACTCAGCTCTCACCTCCCACCTGAGATTGGAGGGTGAAATCAATAGAATGATGGAGGAAACTTACATGGAGCGTGGGCCTACTGTGCTCAGTGTTGCATCATCATTATTCTTACTGAAAGGAGATGAGAGAAGTGCAAGAAATAGTGAGATGAGCAAGGGGAGGGCAGGGAAAGGTTGAGAATTGAAGAAGGTCAGTGACATGGATACTTGTTTCCCAGAAACCCAGGTCACTCCCTTGATAAAATGTGTATCTAATTGAAAATAATGAGAAAATGCAAGTCCCTCTGGCTTTCAGCATGGACTAAAACAATGAATCATGACCAGGAATGTGAGCACCACTCTAGGTGAATCACAGGGGTAAAGGTAATGTTTATTTAAGCATAGTGAAGTATTATTATATATATATATATATATATATATATATATATATATATATCAAATGGGTGTAGGTGGGAGGCTAATAGCTATATTACACAAGCTTCAAGAAAAGTTGGGCCAAATTTTACCTGATCAAATTGTGCATCAAATTCAATGATTCCCAGGCAGGAACTTCAAAGGGTACCTGGGTATTAGAGAGAGGCATAAGGAAGGTACACAGTGTGTTTTAATCAAAAGGGACAGGGGTGAGTCTGAAGAATAAGGAGGGAGACTTTAGAGGCCATGCTCTGTTCTATCAGTAGGGGACAGCAAAATACCTCAGCATGTTTGTAGGACTTAGGGGAGCTAGGCCTGTTTCTTGAAGTGGCCTTCCTATATACTCTCCAAATATTTCATCCAAATGTCACAGACTCCACTGAAGACCAGATGCTTTTAGAGAAAACAGTGGGATTCAAGTCCCCAAAGAACCAGTCCTTATTACTATCAGGCCCCAGCTGCCACCCACCTCTGCTCCACAGCTGTACTCTGTGAGCAGGGCTGCTCACTACTTCTAGGCAGCTGTCCTTTTTTTCTTTACTTATATCTGCCCTCTTATTTGCTAAGCTATAAATTTTATTTCAGTGCATACCAATGGTCTTGTTTTATTGTTCTATTCAATAAACATAAAATTTTAGATCAATAAATATGATCAAAATATAACAGAGAAAGGCAAAACTGTATCTGTGCAAATATCTGTTCCTTTTTCTTGCTTTTTTTTTAAACTTTAATTTATTATTAGTGCTATGAGGGGAATTACATGGAGGTCAAAGTTCAACTTTACGGAGTCAATTTTCTCCTTCCATTTTATGTGTGCTTCAGGAATCAAACCTGAATCACTAAGGTTGGTGGCAAGTTCCTCTACCCACTTTAAACAGAGAACTACCATTCTGTCTGCTTCCTTCATCAATTGCACCTAAACCATTCCCATGCACTACTCAGAAACTTCTGGAGTCTCTTGGCAAATCACTCAGTAGAGTTATCTTATTATCTTTATACTGGATTAAAAATAAATATGCAAATTTTACTTCACTGACTCAATGTTAAATTATTAAGTTTAATGGAGATATTTGATGAACATTAAAATTATAAACTAGTTCTTTCAAAAATAAATTCTTACATTATAAATGCTGCTTGACAAACTAACTTCAATGTCGTACCACCTATGACCCTATAAACAGCTTGTATCATGTGTGACTCATGATGTGAATTCAACAGCTTTGCAATTAGTCATAACAAACTCACACATTCCCTGGACCAGAGGCAAAAAGCTCACAAGTCAGCTGTGGCCCACATCCAAGCACTGGGTGTCATTGCTTCCAAGAATGACCCCTGAGTGTCTAATCATTGAATTGGCTCTCCTGGGATACCCCACATTAACCACTTTCTCCTTCATCTTGGGTTTGTAACAGTCAGATTGAGCAGCTATAACAAAACACACCATATAGTGAGTGTCTTCCCAGGACTTATTTCTCATGGTTCTGAAGGCTGGGAAGTCTAAGATCCATGGAATTTCCAGTTGATTCCCCCAGAAGGGCTGCCTCCCGGCTTGAGATTGGAACCTACCTCTTATATCCTCATTTGGTAAAAGAAGGAGTCAGACCTTTAGTGTCTTTTTCTTCCTCATGGTGCTCTACCATCAGGACCTCCTCTAGTCCTAATCACCTCCCAAAGCTCCCATCTCCAATTCCATCACGTTGGGAGTGAGGGCTTCAACACTTGAAGTAAAGGGAAGACAATCCAGCCCACAGCAGCACCCCTCAAGATCCCTTCACAGAACCTAGAGGGATTGGGAAAAGCACTGTCTACGGACAGATTTTGAGAGCATCTGGAGAGAGGACAACTGATGAAGTTCATCCTGTAGACAATGCTGCTGTGCCATCAAGAGGACAGCAACGCCCCCAGAACTCACAGCACAGAGAGGAACTCCTCCTTGGTCTATCGCCTTTGACTCTGGAGGCACCCTGGGACCAAGTCTTCTCTCTCCCTCCATCTGAGCTGAGGTTGTTTTGCAAACACACAGAGAGCTCAGCTCCATTTCAGAAGCTGAAGCTCCTCTCTGAATTTCCCCTATTTGCTATCCTATAACAATTCATTTAGAAAGAGATTAGTGATCCTAAGACATTCTTAGTTTGTTTATTGATATACCCTAGGTACCCAGAGCCCTTGCGTCACCCAGCTTCATGATCCCTCAGAAGGGGGAAATAAGAGAGAAGATTTTACCTGCAGATTTATCAGAATCTCCACAACAGGAAAGAAACTACCAAGCTCCCTGGCAACTGTGTGTCTCCAGACAGTGAGTTTCCTTCTTGGTTATGCTGTGTTCCAGTGCAGAATCCAGGTTCCTTCCTCCTGACAGCCAGCACTCTCAATGTGTGACCCCCATGT